ATATACAATTAATACATGTGCAGCCATCTTTAAAAATAAAAGTAAAAAAAAATATTAGAATTCTCAAAAAAAAAAAAAAAGATTTGAATTCCCAAAAAAAATGCAGTAGGCTTCTTGGAGAAGCTTGAGAAAGTTAACGGAAAGATAACGGAGAAATGGACGGAAGTGACGGACGTAACAGCCTAACAAACGGAAGTTACAAAAAAGAGCTATTTTCTTCCATTCTTATAGGTTAGGGGCTAAAACCGTTATGTTATAAGGTGAGGGGCCAAAACCGTCCAACTTGTCAAGGTAAGGGACTATTCTTAGGCTTTTGCCGCGGCCTGATGTGCATCAGTCAAGTCAAAAAATTTGTGGCAAAATAGGGCCAACATGACGCCGTTTTGACCATTAAATGGGCAGAAAAAATGTATAATAGTGAGCCTCTGTACAGAGGATCGTGAAGTCCAACTGTCCAAGTGCATAAACTTTCCTAATGTTGATATCAATTTTTATTTTACTTTTAATATAAATTTAGAAAAAAAATATTCATTACATTATAAATTTATGCCTCTCAAATTAGAAAAACCTTAAAAGAAATGCATCCTGTATAAAAATTGTAAACCTTCCCTCCATGTTTCTCCCTACGGAATTTTAGACTTTTTTTTCCATCCCTTATACTTATCTGTCAGCATTTGATTGGTGGATTGTGCATTTCTCCATTGATTTCATGACACGGGAAATTTAAAAGGTGAAAAAGTATAGAACCTAACATTTACTAGAGACAATTAGGCGTCAGACCCAGAAGAAAAAAATGTAAAGATCAATGGACCATGACAGGAAAAAAAATAAGACACATTACAAATGAGACTCAACAACTTCCTAACATATGAACAAATTCATTCTCTGACACATGAGAACTATGATGTCTAAGGTTCAACATGTAACTGAAATTCTTGTAAGACTAGATTCTTTCAAGTTGAAGGGATCTTTGAAATCTCTACCAATAATTTCTGTAGGGATTGAGGCTTTAAGAAAAATGGGGAGTGGTCTGCACCTTTGAGACAGAATTCCTTTTCTGGAGGGCTTGAGTTTATCATGCCTTCCTGCAGTGTGATGGGAATGGCGTTATCTTGAAGAGTTTCTACATAAAACCGCATCACAGATCCATATTTCATTTCAGAAAGGGAAAGCTTTTCCAAAACTGGTGCAAAAGGTATTTGCCTCATTAAAACAGAGGCTAATGCAACATCCTGGACCAGGGGAGCAAAAAAGGAATTAGAAATTGTTGAGGATGCAGACAGTTGCAGGGGAGAGACAGAGAGAGAGCAAAGCAATATCAAATTTGAATAAGGAACCCAAAGGGTGTTTTCTCATGTTAATTTGACAAAGTGACCATAAATCATTCTGAACACGTAGTACTACTCAATTAGAAAAGCCAAACGTGGCAGCTTTTTGAGTAATAATTAACAGAAATTTGAAAATGCATCTAACAATGTTGAGTGAATCCAGTGCACAAACTTATTAACGAGCATTTCGGACTGTCTAGAAATTACATGCTTCTAGTACGTATGTGTAATGGCCAAGTTTGACATGTTTTAACTTCCGACCCTTCTTAAACGGAGATATATTGCATTTCAAATCCTTGATTTTTTTTCAAAAGAGAATTTCTGGTTTGGCTCTCAAGCAAAGGTCATCCAAGGCTTTCAAGATTTTCTATATAGCTGCACTTGGACAGTAATCGTGCCTACTTCAAACTATCTGATGGGAACACATGGGAAACCACTTGATAATATATTTTTTTTTTGGGCCAAAAAGACTACTTGATGATTAGATGTTCAAACAATCACCAAAATATGAACCCTTTGTTTGTATCATTCCATGTGCTATCAGTGGATATGGAAATATATGGATATGATTGTATGGTACTGGTAGCATGTTTAAAATTTCTAAGTTACGCCAAGTTGCAAAATATATGAGTTGTCATCCAGAAGTAAAAAGAAGGAAATTGGTCTATGACTATGAGAACGACGGAAAAAGAAAAAAACATTAACTTGCAAGCTCAGATGTACCTTGGAAGGACTTTGATTGAATAACAAGTCCCCTGATAATGACTTGTCTGGTTCAACGGTGGGTGATCATTCCCATTAGCATACAAAAACTTCTAGCCCGCTGCATTAGATCAATTGAACCTGCCTGTACCAGTTCAAAACCTTGATTCAATTCATTCAAAATATCATTTATAAGAAACTGGTTAGATTGATTAATTGTTTAGAGATATAATTTATAGAATACCACCTGTACCTCGAAAATGGAGAAAGGCATCTTAATTGGAAATTGGAAGTCATGAGCAAATTGGATTCTTGTTTCATGATTTTCATCATCCTCAGTCCACATGTATGTGGAAAGGTTTAACCAAAAACAAATCATAGTACAAGTTCCCTTGCCTTCCAAGTTCCTTCTCTTATTAATGGTTTCTTGACCATAAATGGGAAATATGAATAAGTTTTACATTCTCTAGTGTTACATCATAAGTAGGGGACAAAAAAAAAAAGAGTACAGATATGGAAAGGAAAGAATTTTCTACATCTATGAATCTCCTAACATTGAGGTCATTGATTCTACACATTACTCATTCAAAAAATAGTAAGCAAGCTAAGAAGCAAGGCCTCAAAAAGGCATATTGTTAAAAGACCACAGTCCATATGGTTAAAACAGGATGCTAATGTACCAGTAAGAGGTTAGTGGAATAGGTCCTTACTAACCATAGCTTATAAGGCCTTGATTTGTGGTCAAGGTCAGGGGTTCAAAACGTCTTCAATGCTAAGTAGTTTAAGTTTTGATGTATCAAAAAGGGAAGTAAAAAGTTGGATGTCAATTATGCAAGCAAATTAGTAAGTTCTGAGGAGCTGAGAACTGGGATGCTAGTTGACCTATACACAATGTAAAATAGGATATCTGAAGTATTGTTATTATGTAATGCACTTTCGAATATACACAAAACAGACGGTCTCTTGTGAATGACAGTTTTTTGAAATTCAATAATGATTGAACATAAGCGAACCTGCTGGAAGAATAATCGTTTTTCATCAAAACAAACTTGTTCTGTATGTACTAGTCTTTGACATTCACCTACTACCTTCGAATAATAATATGTAAATCCCAAAACAAGGAGCATGTTACATGAATACGATTAAAGTAAAGCCTTACAATGAGATGAAACACTTAACATCAAAGATACAAGAAGATCACATTTGAAAATCAACAAAAAAACTTCTCAGCAACTTAATGAAACCGAAATTGATATGAACAGTGCACATAAACAATAACCTTGTTGCACTGTTCCATTAGTCTTCAACATGGCCAAAAAAAATTTGTCTTCACCATCTGAAGTGAGGATTGCAATTCCAAAACTAGTACAGCATGCTGAGAACTTACAATTCCATGTCCTCCTCTCAGTTTCCTTCCTAGACACAACTAATATCCTTGTTTCTGTCAGTACTCTCATTCAATCTTGTCGCTGATTTTAACTTGGAATTAATATCAATAAACACATCAGCATTGAATCTCAGCATGCACAAGCACCAAAAAAGCAGTTGTTGAATTGAAATGGTCAAGCTTCTAGTTAATATGGTAAAAACTAAGAAGGTTCTAGGTTCATGAAAATACTTTCAAGTTTATAATCAATACAGGACTACAATGCAAAAACTTCATTTCCAGAAAGAAATTCTTTTGTTCAGGAAATTATCATACAGATTTATGTGTTTCAGAATGCAGTCCAGATATAGAGGTCAATAGAGAATTTTGCAGCTGAAATAACAATTGAGAAAAATAGAAAGAAAAAAAAATTCATAAAGATTTATACATGTCACCTCCACATCTACTACAGATTTTGAATTGTGAAGGTTTCTATCACCATTTTATGAGGAACTAATCTTGGGGAACTTTTTATGTAAAAAGCTCTTGCAGAACTACTGTGTCATATAGCTGATATGTGCATCGGCAATTTATCACGTACTTTATCTTTTACAGGTAAATATTTGAGCACGTTATTAGCAGCAGGTGCAGTTACAAGTTACAACTTTTAAGTACATATTTTAGCCAAATGCCAAAAAATTTTAAGTGATACTCAGCAAACAAAAATATTAAACATGAAAGTCTACAGTAACTCTACTAGGATCACTTTTTTACCTGACGATCACCCTTCTGAATTTGGAAATTCAATAGAAGGCATGTGCTGGATTTTGTAGAAATCCTTTCCATCTTCTTGAAGGAGACCTTTGAATGCTCTAGTCATCCATCTAATCTCCAGTTCCTTAAGAGTAGTGATGAACGTCATGCCTTCAGGAAACACCTTTAGTTTATAGCAATCTGAAATTCCTAGACGAGCCAGACTAGGCATGGCTCCTTCCTCCACTGTCCATTCCTCTAAATTGGGAAGGCCACGAAGGAGTAAGGTCTTGAGTTGGGGAAAACCTTTTCTTGAGCAAACCATTTTCTTTCTGACAAACACTTCCCACCCGCTAAAGTATCTTAAGTTTGGCAGCTTCCCCAGAGTCTTCATTGGGTCTTCCTAAGGCCTAGGTCCCCACAAAGTTAACTTGGCAAGGTAGGGAGGGAACTCATGGTACTCAGGTAGGTTCTCTATCTGCCCTTCTATGTGCAGCTTGCAAAGACGAGGATAGCCTAATAATAGCTGCCTTGGATCAACAACCTTATCAGGAAAGGAGAGAATATCAGTCTTTAAAGACAAGGACATGAGGAAGTTTTAATGTGCTTCTTAGAGGATCAAAGATTCTGACAAAGTTTCCGAAGTATCTGGCATCATTCAGCACAAGTTTCCTGAGATTGGTCAACCTGAGAAGAT